TTTCCCCCCCCCCCCCCCCCCTCTGTTATGTGTATGGCCTAATTTTGACCAGTGGGCAGTCTCTTCAATCTAACCAGCTTCTCATCATTCAGGGTACAATTAACCCCAGACCTAACCAGGTCAACACAGTGACCATCCCACTAAACTGATGTACCACATGAATAGCTTCTTGATAACATGCCCATTAGCATGTGAATGCAAGATCATATATTTTGGTTTGATCATATGTGTATGTCTTTTCAAATGAAGATATTAGGCTGCCAAACAAATCATGCAAATGGTCATGATAAGGATATACATAATTTATAAATCTCCTTTGCTTAGCACACTGTATTAGGGGTGTTTACAATGCAAAAGAATATTTTTTGTCATTCTAATCATACCAAATAAAATGTTTTCAAAGGAAATGGAGGTGGGGCTGCAGGGTTTTCCCCAGAGAGCTGTCCAGATGTCATTTGGATGGCCATTAGCCTTAAAAGATGGCCCAAATTTCCAAAGACATCTGGATGGCTTACAAAACTTTTGGATTGGTTGGTTGGGCCTGCTTGGGTTGGACTCCCAGTGAGTAAATCAATGACCAAACCCTGCGGAAAACCCAGGTGGATGACTATGTTTAGTTCAGTTTGCCCATCTACAAGAATAGAAAATCCAAAGGCGTTCACTTCTCAGGTGTAGACTCTAACCTTGAACTGAGAGGACCCAAGTGCTGACTGTGAACTGGTGCAGAAATATTACTTGTAATTTCAAGGGAAAATATCCCATTTTCTTTTTCAAACATAACATTCAGGCATTTCAAAAAAGTGTACCTTCTAACACAAAACTAACATCTTCTCAAAACATTTAAATTACCATTTTTTCTGTAAAAATTCAGTAATTCACAGTGTTCAAATTTATTCAGTAATTACCGTATCTTCCCGACCATGATGCTACCAGGGTTCTGTTCTTCTTGAAGGTTTTACCAGACAGGTGAAGAACAGGGGCAACTTTTATTAGCTGGTACTCAAAATAGCTCATCTCAGTACTTCTAGCACTTAAAAGTCTGAAATGCTCTGGTTATCTGGTGTGCTTTAATCCCTGTATTATCTGGGAGTTGGTCTCTCTTTTATCAACCATTGAATTTTTATTGGTTCAAGCATATTTTTGTAAAATATATTACCCAACCATTTTTTTACAGGAATCATTAAGATCTTTGATCTTTTTTAAAAATAGATTCGGTGTATGTTATTTAGTTTTAAAAATATAAACAAAAAAATTATTATGGATGAATGTCAAAACTGCCTCCTCTCCATAGCATCCAATGAGTGTCTGAATAGAAATGTTATTTTTGTTTATTTTTCACACACAATAATCTGTACATTTTATATATTAATTCCCCCCCTCTCTCTCTCTATCTAAAATTTTTAGTTTCCAGAAAGTCTGTCTGTACAAGGAACCCCATATTTCCTAGAAAGCCGCTTAAGTGCAATAAGAGCATCCATTCCAAAGATCTATTTATAGTAGCACTGAAGGAAATTGCTAGCAATGTGTTATTACACATTACATCTTAATAAGTACTGCAGTGCTTTTGCCAATGCACTAAGTGCTTAAATTTTCCATCTTCACTGATTTTCCCTGTAAATTACATGAATAGTAGCAATAATTTATTCAGCTAACAAACACATTTTTCATGAAAGGCAATATCTCTGATCAGTATTTAGGCATACTAGTTTAAATATTAAAACTACACATAAAACAAACCACAAACATTGGATTTTATTGGAGCTCTTACAAGGGAAATATAAGGGCCTTTTAAAGAGCAGCTTATCAACAAGATTGCTGTGATCATATGTTCAACATTTGAGAAAGTAATCATGAACCACTGGGTAAGGATAGATGGGGAGATAGAGAGTCATAATAGCCAAACAACCATTTCCAGTCTTCAAAAATATCAAAATATACACATGCACAGACATCAGTGAACTATTAAATCCACCCAAATTTCTTTTCAAAATTATCCCCCCACTTGTTGGCTTTATGGTTTCCGTGAAATAATTGATAAGCCCAGATTTATAGCCTGACCCATTTAACAGGAGAATGTCTCCAATGAAAAGCTCTGTCACATCTCTCCATTATCAGCCAGTGTGTATTCCTGACCTATCAACTAGTCATTACTCATCAGTCAGCAAACACACTCTTGTGTAGTCAGCTATGAGAAAGGCTGAAAGTGATTGCAGATATTAACAACACTGGAGACAATAACAAATGGTCTTAGCTTTGTGACATCCAGACAAGTGTGTGTGTGTGTGTGTGTGTGTGTGTGTGTACATATGTGTGCGTGCACAAGTATGTGCGTGCATGTGCACCTGTGTAGTATGTGTGTGTTTGTATGTGTATGTGTGAGAGACAGAAAGAGGCTAGAAAGCTACCATATCAACAGAAAATTAACCCTTTGCATTTTGTATTATTTTCCCATATGGATACAGCAGCTGCAGCTAAAATAAGCTGGAATAATAATATGTACATGACTGCCTACGCTTCTTAGTAAGTTCACATAATAATATTCGCACAGTCCTTTATTTGGTGACATTAATTTCAAAAGCAGCTGCCTACCCTGACAGCTAATGCTACATGTTTGGCACTGCCAATAATGAATGTGTTTGCTTGAACATGTGTGTGTGTGCATGCGCATCTGAAAGCATATTTGTTTGATGTGTGCTTGAAAGGCGGGGGTGGGAGGGGGGGGGGGGAAGTAGACTGACCAAGTTTTAAAATGTTTTAAAACCTCTTTCACTTATTGTCAGTTTGTTAGCCCATGTCGTTTCCAATAACATTGCACTCAAAAATGTTATGAATAAAATACCTGCATATATGACATCATCCGGCTATAGTATTAACATTTATTATCATAAACACTTAAGTGTCATTCACACAATTGAATAAGGGACATCAGACACCACACAATAATTTACCTCTCTGGCGATTGTGTTGAGAGCTGCATCTTCGGCTGAATATTTCGCCTGTCCCCGTCGCCGACCACTGCTCGGCGTTCCCGAAAAATTAGAAGTCGACATATCCACCTGGTTAGTGAATCAGACCGAACATGAAATGATCTCAAGTATCTATCCGAGAAGTTATTTTTGGAATGACTTGCCGACTCAATAAACTATGACAACTTTACGTGTTATGAGCGACTGACTGAGCTTTGAGATGAGCTGAAAAACAGTTTCCTTGGCTGCAAATATCCTCTTCGTGATATTGTATAAAGGCCACATTCAGCAGTGTTTTGACTGGTGTAAAAAGTTGGGAAACTTCTAAATCCACTCCCTCTCTTCCCGATTGCATTCCACCATGATGGCTAACCTAGAAAGACCCGGATATACGACCTAATTTGAAATCGACAATCTACTGCGCATGCTTGAAACGTGTCACGCATGCGTACATCGTGCGAAATCGGCAATATGGAGGTCAGAAGTAGCTGACGCTCTTACAAGTGGCGAAATTTTCCGGTATCCTGGTCACGTTTAAATAATGTTTAAAAAACTGAAACAGAAGATTAAAGAGGGAGTTGAAAACTCTCCGGTGAAGAATTTTGCGGACAACTTTGCACAAGCTGTTGTAAGTATCAACATATATGGTCAATATGCTGAGATCTACCAGTCAAGTCATGTTGCACTGAAACTGTCAGTGACAGAGGCACAATGACCGCGTTTTTTACGTAAGAGTAAGTTCATTCCGTATGCGCATTAAGAATATTGTATTAAGCGCATATTCCCATGATCATGGGATGATTTAACTGTTTGGCATACACTGATAAATGCTAGTTGTGTTCCCCGTCATGTCACCCAGTTTATGTGAATCTGTCTTCCTGTTTGTGTTCTATTATTTATTGGTTCACATACGCCCACTTATTTCTCCCCCCCCCCTCCGCCAAGCTTTCTTCCACAATAGTATAGTTTATTTGTGTTTTGCTTTTCATGCTGTTGAATTTGATTAGGACTAGATTCAATCATTTTGTTAGTTATTTCATTAGCAACTTTATCTCAACATTTGTTTATGAGTGGTTATTGGTTATTTTTAGGACTCTGATGGTGGTTGGGGGGGGTGTTAAAGTCACATTGCATAAAAGCTATCATGTGCAATTTTTATTTTGGGCAATTGATTGATAGTAGCCATCAGAACCCAGTATTTATCAAGTGGAGGAGTTTACTATATATTAGTTATCAAATTACTGTAAATGCACAAAATATGTGGTTCTATCACCCTCAGAAATGCTCACTGTTAAAGTGCTAAAATTCTATTATGGAAATTATTGATGAAAGACAGAAAGTTCTGATGTTCTAAAGTTTAATTTACTGCAATAAGAGAGGTTACTTACTTTGCTAGATGGGTTTTCTCATGTCCTTAGCCCCTTTGCAAATTCGGGTTTCTGTCCAAAGAAAACTTTGCAGAAAGAGCTTGTGGAATTCATATATAGATATACATTAAGTGCCATTGAGACTACAGGAAAATGCCCAAAGCTTGTTCTTGAAAGGTATCACTCCTGTCACTGAAATAATCAATTTGAAACTTATTTATAATCATGATATTTTTTGTCAGAGCCCCGATCATAAACCCAGTGAAGGAGCCACAGCCAATGACAGTGCATCTGGTACGCAGTCTCCAACACCAGAGGGTGCTGCCAAGGATGCAGGAGAAGCCAAAGTAGGAGTTTTGGTGGACATTGCAGATGGAGGTTCTGGAGACAATGGTATGGTGGAAGTGCCCCTGGAGTCTCCCAATCACGGGACTATGGAGAATAGTGTGCTCTCAGAGAGCAAGTTGGAGGTAATTTCTTTGGAGAAGGAAGTTTGATACTTTTAGCAGAAAGTTTAGTTGAAACCTATTGACTTTGATTACAAAGTTTAAGAATTGATTTCAGGATATTTTTTTGTCATGTAATAGTGGGTCTTGAAATCTCAATTACATATGATTGTTTCAAAGAACAATCTCAAAAATGAACAAGCAATACCTGGTATGGATGCATCAGTGCATGAAAGGATGCCATTACAAGTAGATATGTTGTATATACAGTAGTAATCATAGGCCTATATTGACCATAAAATTATTCACCAAATTAAGATGCTTTTGACTGAAGTCTCAACTTGAAAAAACAGACTTTAAAAGAATTAATTTTATTCACCATTGAAACATTCAGTTAGATTTAGTGACCTAGTAAATTAACCCAAGTAATCTTTACAAGAATTTAGTAGTCTACAATGTTGATTTTTTCTCTTGAAATAGAGAGTTAAGTGAAATAAGAACTTAAAAAAGCCAAGATCCAAATACCAGCAGAATTTAAGTTGATATTTAGAAACATACTCGGTTTTAATGAAATTCACGTCAATTTTCAGGAAATGATAACAGCAGAGGTGCCAGAGTCTCCAGTCGTGCGCTCCCGCCATTCTTCCATGAGCTCAAACGTCAGTGAAAGCCCCTTGTTTCCGCCGCTGGATCTTTCCCATCGCCAATACGTTCCACCCTCCGACATTGAGAGTGAGTTTGAAGAGACTCCTCAGCAGCACAACCTAAGTCATGTCTCCAAGGAAGAACTGTTCCAGAAACTGTTGAAGGTAGAGAAGAGGATGGTACGCTACAAGACCAAGTTTACTCAGGTATGAATTATATGTAATTATAATGCTAATGATATTATGTTTTATTTTTTAAATACAACCAAAACATTGACATTTAACATTTATATTGTAAATTTTGTTAAATGTTGAATTTTATTAAACTTTATTTGAAATTAGATAAAAAAATATTTCATATCTTTGGCTCACTGTTCTCATTATTGTCATTTCATATTTGTAAATTCATAAAAGTGATTTAATAATATCATTGGAATCAACTATTTGGCACTTTATTTACACTGTGACACACTTCAAACAGTCAACCATATTGCTAAAAATAGGATCAGATCAAACTAAGCATGTGTCCACAACAACCTATATTTAATTGTAATCACTATGGAATTTTGTCAGAGATTTTTAAATACATCAGTGCAATTCAACAAAACTATAAATCTAGATTGTTCTGTGTACTGGATAATTAAGGCAATGGTTTATTTATAGCACAGACTCATGACTTAACTTGTGATTAAATATTCACACAGTGATGGTAAAAAGTGCCTGGATGTCTTGCTGTGAAGGTAGAATTTTGCTTTCTAATAAACTTGATCAAAAGAAACAGGAGTTTTGGGCTGAGGAAAGAGAAAGTGAGGCCACAGGTGAAAAGTTATAAAATGATCAGACCAGCAGTCATAGTGGTTTTCATTGGCTGTGGTTTGCACTGAAAGTTACAAGTGCTTTCATTACTGGAAACTATAGTTAAATAATAGGAAACGGATGAACTAACATATTTGAGCAAAATAAAAGAAAAAAAACCCTGAGTTTAGCCTTTGTTTACGGAAACTCTCCCTATTACTTTTCAAATAGTAATTTCAATGACTTTTTAATCACATGGAATATACTCAGTACAAAGCAGTCAGGTAATCATCAACATCATTTCACCACAGCTGACCTCATGTCGTTAGTTATGCAGTATTTAATCACTGTAGCAGATTGTCAGTCTAGACTTTATTATCTGAGACAAAAATGTCAGTAATTGATGATGAAAACCACTAAGTTTAACATATAAGTTGCATTTAAAATATTGTGATAACCCCCCCCCAGAACAAAAATTGGAAATCTAAGTTATTAGCGAGATTTTAAAAAATCAGACCACAGTGATAAATTTGATTTTTGATAATTTTAAAAAATCCTGTCATCCTGCCTTTCAAGAGAGTTTATAACTTGACTAATACCCCGTTCACACTACGCTCAGTTATCCGGATAAATTGCGAATCACAAATTTTTGTTGGTATTTTAAGATTTCCTGTGCGGGGCATGCATGAGTGTTCAAAACAGGAAGTTAAACCTGAAATTTTCAACGTGTAATTCGGTTTCGCTTAGCGTGTGTGAACGCAATACCGAATCGAATTCCTAACGAAAAATTCGGATTATAGAAATGCGCATTTTTGCAACTGTAGTGTGAATGGGGTATAAGACTGAAGCTGAGAGTGCACCATGATGCAGGGGCAGAGCCTCAAGCGTATGAAAACAAGCAAAGTCTCAGCAGACGGGATGTCTGTCTGTTACTTAAGATAATATTGGGATAGTCATTTTCATAGAGTGCAGATATCCGTATAAATAAAATCTTAACATTTTCAATTCATTTTGCAGTTGATGAATGCCTATCAGGAAACAGATAGAGAGCGAGAGAAGTTAAAGGTATGCAACTACAGTTTGTATTTCTTTTTCTTTTTTATGGCCTCATAATGTAGTGGCTAACATGATAATCTCCCCATCTATTTTAGAAATAATTTCAATCCAGAAGCAAACATACTAGTTCTGTTTAACTGTACTTCAAGAAATAGTACTGCCAACAAAGGATAGTCTGGTGTTGTGCATGTGGATAAAGCTGTAGATGTTAACTGCACACAATTGTTTCTTTAGTCATAAGCATTCCTATTATTGATATTATTGTATAAATTATGAAAATGGCTTAATAATTTACACCAATCTTGGTGAAATTCAGTTGACTGTGAGTGTGCTGAAAACGTAATTATTTAATCTTGTCTGTTTATATCTTAGGATACCTTAGAGAAGTCCCAAGAAAGGTTTTCGGTACTCTCAACACCCATTTTCTGTTCCCTTTAAATAACCCTTTAAGTATTTTAATTGAAGATTTCATCACGATTTCCTGCCTACATGCAATTTTTTGTTTGTTTTCTGCATCTTAATCTTGATCTTTTACCAAGTAAAAAAGTCTGGTTCTTATATACCACACTCCCTAACATCTCAGTGCTGCTTACCATAGATGACAATATGCATGACATATTTTTGGAGCCCTGATTCATACTGGCTGTGAACATTCTGACATCCCTGGGGAGGATACACCACAGCTGCCATTTGAGGTGCTGAAGGTTACAACACAAACAAAAATGTTTCACTGCCAGTCCAGGAACTTTACCCCTGCTTCAACCCTAAGTGCTGAGTGCCAAGTGAAGAGACTGCTGGTACTGTTGTGAAGGACTAGTATGTCCCCGGACAGGGTTGATCCCATGTCCTCCCACTCCAGTGGCAGACACTCTGACCACAAGGTCATCCAGTCTGTAAATTTGTCCATCACAGTATTTATCTAATCTTCAGTTCCTCAGTACATGACCTTACCTTTTTATTCACCACTTTGCAAGCTTTGTAGAATATTTATTCAAATCATATAGTAGTTACTTTTTCCCACCTGGAGCAAAATATTTTTATACCTTTCAAATATGCCATCCTAAGATAAGGCATTAAAATTTTTCACTTCCGTTTGCCTTTTCATGGAGATGAAAAAGGTTGAAACTAGTATACATGCTTCTCGGTTAACTAAGCTTGAATGATAAATTTCAGGGATATATTAGCTCAGACTGTTATTCATCATAATTGTTCCTTCTCCACAATACTTAAACATTATTCTGGTCAACTTCCCCTCTGCAGAATACTCTCAAATTATTCATCATTATCCTCATTTCTCCAGAATATCCTTACTCAGTTTCAGAATAACAAATCAACCATCATTTCTTCATTACCTTTCTCAAGTCTCCAGAATGTCCTTATTCAGTCCCAGAATGATAAATCAACCATAATTTTACTACTATCCTTCCCTATGTCTCCAGAATACCCTAACCCAGTCCCAGGACAATAAATCAACCATTATTTGTTAAATATCGTTTCTGTTTCCAGAATACCCTGACCCAGTCCCAGGACAAGGCTTTCCGCAGGATCTCAGAGCTGCGAGAACAGGTCCAGCTAGACCAGCAGGCCAAGAGACACATCGAGGACAACTACATGCTGATGATGGAGGAGAAGGAGGAGAAGCTGAAGGTGTTACAGATGCAGGTAGACATTTCTGGCACTGATTTTGTTTAATGTATTTTGAATTGTGGAAGTTGCTTCATATGCTGTCTTCTGCCCTCATCTTGAACAGTCGTGTGTGTGTGAGGAATTGATATCTGAAGGTGTTTTTTATTGACTCGTAACAAATGATTTGAAAAAGATAATATTCATTGAGTGATTTCTTGAAAACAGGAGAAAATTAGAAAAGCTCTGCAGTTACATTTTTCATGAATAAGTCTGCAGATCAATTGGCCATGCTCAAGAAGTATTTTCTCGGCTGCTCCTGACCAGTTTTTTGTCATCTCTCAGTAATTGTAGCTTACCCTTCAACATTGAATCCAACTGATTAAGAATGAAAACTTCAACAGCTTATACTCATTTTCTTTCAGGTCCAACTTCTCAAGGAAGGCAAGGAAATTCCAGCAGAACTGGAGGAGAAGATGAAAGCCCCCAGTAAGGCTGAAGTGCCCACCAGGGGGCAGGGTGATGGGGCACCTGCAGATGGTGCTGGTGAAGCTGCTGCACTCAAAGAAAAGGTAATAGCCAAATGATAGAGTGTAAGGATTTTATTTAAAAATCCTGTCAGTTATTAAGTATTAAAGTGTGAATAAAACCAGCAATCTAGACTATTAAATGTTATTATTCGGATGGTCAACTTAATCAAAAATGCTTAATAAGAGAATGTTTCCTGGTGTTCTGTAAGGGAAGCTTAATTTAAACATTTCATGAAGTTATTAATTTAAAAATGATGATTTCAAACTTTTGGAAACTTTGTGTAAGAAAGTTAGTTGTAGTGAGTGCCCCAAAATGATAAATCTTGAAAAAGTCAAACATTGAAAAAACTGAGACATTTGAAGATTTTAAATAATTACCTCAAAAGCCCCTACTCAGTTATATTATAGCATGCATCAAAATGTTATAAAATGTCCTCACCAGGTGAAGAGACTGGAGGGTTTACTGAACAGATGTAAGGAGACAATAAAGAGTAACAAGGAGAAGACAGCACAGCTGGTCAGTGAGAAGGAGGCTCTACAGAAACAGCTGGACGCCAAGGGGGCGGAGCAACAGCAGGAGAAACCCAAGGTAAAGGTTGGTCTGGTTTGAAAAGTTAAACACTTGTATGGTAGCATTTTTAAGGTCAGTTTATTTTTTTCTTCAAGTCTATTAGAAGTGTTAAGTTGGTGTTCACTGTTATAATTAAAAGTTAAAAAAAATTCTGCTCCATGATGTGGTCTCGTCTTATGTTTTATTACATGAACAGCACAGTATTTCATGTGGGAACCTATAGTAGTATATAAATATACTACTGTTCACATTGTATACTGCAGCCTTCTTCTGTTACGGAAAATTCAACTTTTGATCAACCCCAAGAAGCTTAACTCAGGGTCTCTATTTAACAGAAGTGTAACATTTAAAAAAGGCATTAAAAAGGGTTGTGTGGGCAGTATGGCTGGTCTATCAAATTAAAACATTTTATATATATAACCAAACAAAACAAGGAAAAGAAAACATGTTACAGCCATTTAGTATTTTTCTATAAATATGAGAACATATTTTTTGTCTCTGTATGACAGGAAGAGGCACCCACCACCCCAGTCAGCAGCCCGGCACCATCAGCTGCAGTGGACAAACTAAAACACCAGATTCTAGAGGCTAGGAAGCTGATCAAGGACCTGGAGACAGAGAAAGCCATGGCCATCGCCGAGGCCAAGCAGCAGATGCATGTTGCCATGGAGGAGAAAGACGAGGAGCTGAACCGGGTGAAGGAAAGCAGCCACGGCTTGACGGAGGAGAATGAACAGCTGAAGGAAAAGGTGGAGAAGCTGGAAAAACAAGGTATGAATTATTGAATTTAAGAAGAAAAAAAAAGAAAGTTAAAATTTAAATTGTCAAGAATATATTATTATGTAAAATTTAATATTTGTAATACGTGTATATGTCATAATGCAAGAGGCATAGTTTTAGTTTTATTGTTATAACAAATTCTGAAAAATAACTGTTCCAAAATTTGATTAAAAAATTGTGTATATTTTCATAGAAAATGTTTCTTTTTTGCTTATTTGTTGCTGTTGAGATACATTATTTATTAATTAATTTCAAGTTATTGTGTGTTTTCTCTACAAAAAATATAATATGAAGTTGATAGAATTGTTTTTTTCCTGATAAAGGAAAGGAACATCTGGAGAAGTCTCGAGAGATCATCAAGAAACTGAAGGAGGAAAAGAATAAGCTTGTGGAGGAATCACAGCAGAAACTGGCAGAGGCAGAGAAGAATTTGGAAGACGAGAAACAAAACTTGATCCAGGAATTGAAGAGAGGAAAGACGGCTGCTGTGACACTTCTGCAGGTAAAATGATAAAGATTTTTAAATATTTAGAATAAAAAATTAAAAAGAAAAATTAATAGTAAAGTGTTCTTTGTTCTATCCTGAGAGTGGAAGCACCAAAGTAAAAGGTTTGTGATGTTTCATGTGTAATTTGAAACCTAAAAAAATGTTCCCAGTTAAAATGGTCCCTGTGCTACATGAGGGGGTATCATATCTGCAATGCCATGATTGATAATTGATAATTTAGCATTTAGTTTTTTTCTCCTCACAGCAAGAAATGGAGAGAAAACTAGAGGAGAAGGTCCAGGAGATGACTCAGCAAAAAGAGGAGGCTCTGGCAAATAACACCAAGGAATGGGAGGAAAGAATGGCAGAGAAAGAAAAAGAAAACCAAGAAGCTCTTGTTGTCAAGGTACAGATGAATTTAGATTTGGTTAGAAAACATACTGTAATTTTTTTGAAAATTTTGGTCATGACTAAATCGCTTTCACATTGTCTATGAGATTTATTCAGTATGAACTTTTGACAGGTGTGTGTTGTTAAAATGTAGAAATTGCAAAGTAAAAAAAAATGTCTTATTTGATTAGGAAAAAGAAAAAGAACATGCCTTGAAGCAGAAACAAGAAGAGCTTGAAAGAGCTCTCCAGGAGAAGGAGAATGAGACACGATTGGCTATAGAGGAGAGAGAACTCCAGAAGATGGCAGCGCTGACTGCTCAAGATGGGCAGAAGGATGAGCTGCAGCAGATGATAGAGCAGCTAAAGGGGGTTTGTTTTATCTTATACCTCTATTCTGCTGTTGATTTTGTAGAACATTTGTAGTAGGATGACATACTTGAATGTTAAAGTACTTTGGCAATTATTTTATTTTCATAATTAATTGTTGAGATTGACAACATATAATGTATAAAAAAAACTTTTTGATGGTTCTTATTTATGCTGTAACTGATAAAGAAAGGGTGCTTAGCTTTCACTTGTCTTAAATTATATCACACAAATTATTAGATTAAATTTTTCATATTTAATCAAACAAGCACTGAAAGATTAACATTAATTCCCTTATTTCAGAAACAAATAGAACAGGAGAACATTATACAGAAAATGACAGAAGACCACAGACAAGAAGTCGCAGATCTGACAAATCAAATTGAAGATAACTTCCAGCGCAAAAAACAAGAACTGCTTGAACTTCAGAGCAAGCAACAGGAAGAGATTGAGCAAATGAGAATGACTTTCGAACAAACTGAACAAGAAAAGCTGTCTGCCTTGAGAAGAGAACACATTGAAGAATTAGAAGTCTTGAATAGAAAACATGAAGAGGCCTTACAAGGGACGAGTTCTGATATCGAGGTCCAGTTCAAGGAACACATGGAGACTTTAAAAACCCAGCACGAAAACCAGATACAAGAAAAACAGACACAAATGGACCAGCTGAAAGCCAAGTTCAAGGAGCACCTGCAAAAGGTCAAAGGTCAACTAGAAGCCCAGATTCAAGACAAGCAATCCCAGCTGGATGACCTTGCGCATCGTCACGAAGAGCAACTGTCCAGCGTCAGGTCACAAAGTGAGACACAGTTACAGGAGAAAGCGGCACAAATTGAACAACTTTCCCGCACAATTGAAGACCTGAGAACTCAGGAGAATAGTCTGAATTCACAAATTGATGCCACGCGGCAAGAGTACGAAGAGAGAATTTCTGGGCTTGAGAGACAGTTGACCGAGAGTAATGAGCAGAATGAAAAACAACAGAAAGATAGGGAGAATGTAGAAAAAGACTTTGAAGTCAAACAGGCCGAATTTGTGGGCAGAATTACGGAACTGTCCAATCTCATACAAACACTGCATCAAAACATTGAAGAAATGACTCAAAAAAATTCTCAGTTAGAATCCAAAACTTCTGATTTGGAAAACAAAGTGTCTGAATTAGAGTCTGATAAATCTGCACTCGAAAAAGTTCGAGAGGAAAAAGATAAAGAATTAAAAAGTTGTGTAGAGCAGTATGAAGACAGGCTGAGAATGGAGAAAGAAGGGTTTGAAAAAGAAATGCAGAGACAAGTGGAGGCAGTTGAAATTCAAAGGCAGAGCTCTGTAAGTGAAGTCACAGTAGAACTAAGTGATAAATTGTCCAAGGCCAATGAAACCATCACAACACTGGAGAGGAGGGTGCAAGAAATGACCCTCAAGGAGAAAGACTTATTGAGTCAGCTCGATGAAATGAGCCGAGAACATAGAGAAGTAGCCCAGGAGGCAAATGAGAGTGTCTCCAAACTCCAAGAACAGCTTGATGAAGCCCAGGGAATGGCACAGGAAAGAAAAGTGAAACTTGATGAACTAGAAAAAGAAAATCAGAATAAGGATAAAGAGATTGAGGATTTGAGGACAGCCTCAGAGGAAAGTGTTCAAAAATTACATGCTATGCAACAGCAGGTTGAAACATTAACTGCTGAAATTACTAATAACAATGAAGTGATAGAGGTGCTTAAAAATGAAAGTGAAAGCAAACAACAGCAAATGTTAACGTTACAAGGAGAAAAAGAAAGCTATCAACAGCAAGTGGAGAGTCTTCAAACTGAATTACAACAAAAAAGTCACCAGCTTGAAGTAATTGCTAAAGAGAACGAGCACGGACAGGCAGAAAAGGAGTCTCTTCAAAGGGAAAGTGAAATCATTGGTAACCAGCTGCAGGCTTTGCAGAGTGAGCTTGAACGTCGAACCGATCAACTTGCCAAACTGGAGGAAGAGCTGAACCAAAAACAAGAACAGCTTCAAAACCTGAGGACTGAGTATGAAGCAAAAATAAGTGAGATTGAAACCAACAACACAAGCCACGTTAACTCTCTTGTGACGGAGCATAAAGAACAGCTTCAGCTCCAGTTACAACCTTTACAAAACGATATTGAAGTTAAAAGCAATCAACTTGCCAAGCTGGAGGAAGAGTTACACCAGACACGGGAGCAGATTCAAAACCAAAGGGCAGAGTATGATACTCAGATACGTGATATTGAGAACGGTCATGCAAAACAATTAGAAACACTTTCTGCAGAGCATGAACAAAAGCTACAGCAGACTTTACTCAGTGCTAGTGAAGATAAATCTGATCAGCTAGCTAAATTAGAAGAGATGTTGAACCAGAGGCAAGAACAGATTCAAAACCTTAAGACTGAATATGAAGCTAAAATCAGCGAAATTGAAGCAAATAATGAAAAGTACGTAGAATCTCTTGCTGCTGATCATGCAGAAAAGCAACAGCAGCTTGCTCACTCACATGAAGAAAAACTCCAGGAAGTTTACCAATTAAACGAGCAGAAACTTCGAGAACTTCAGGATTATAGCCAGTCAAAAGATGAAGAAGTGGAACAATTGAAAGGTGAGCTAGGTATTTGTAATCAGGAACTAATGTTACTTAAAGAACAGATAGAGAAATTAGAATCTGCTCATCATGAGGAACTGGATAGGGTTAGGTTAGAACTGAGCCAAAGTTACGAAAATAAATGTAAAGAACAGTCTGAACAATTAGAGGCTTCCTATCAGGAAAATCTGAAAACAGAAATGGAGCAAGTTACCTCAGCTTTTGAAGAAGAAAAGAAAAAACTGGTCTCTGAAATGGAAAATGTGCAAAGAGAGCTGAGCCACCTAAAGGACAATGGCGACCACGAAACCCAAGCTATTATGGAGCAAGTTAGCAACCTTCAAGGGGAAATTCTGACAAAAGATTCTGAGATTCAGGCACAAATCCAGAAGGTTTCCAGTTTGGAAGAGAAAGTGGCCAGCTTGAGTTCCACATTAGAATCCAAAGATCAAAGCTTGTCTGAGCTGGCCCACATGCTTGAGGATGTAGAAGGGAAGCTCGAAGAAAGGCGTCAGGTTATGGAATCCACAGAGAGGCTCCACTCCGAGGAAGCTGCTCGCTGGAAGTCCCAGGAAGAAGTGCTGTGTCAAGACTATGAGACGAGGCTGGAAGAAGCCAGAGAAAAGATGGAAGGTTTGGAAAACCGGATCCAAGAGCTTACAACCCAATTCGGGACCAGGGAAAAGGAGTTGAAGGAAACCCTAGATCACCAAGTGGCCGAGGAAAGACAGAAAGTGCAAGCAGCTGAAGCAAAAGTACAGGAGCAGTCTCTACGCTTTGAACAACAGATGGTGCACCTGACTCAGAGTTTGGGACAGGCTCAAGAACAGGGGACCAAGATGGAAGATGACTTAAAGGAGCGAGAGGAAAAGCTTAGGAAGTTTGAAGAGAATGAGAAGGATAAAGATGAGGCCCTGTCTACATTGGAAAATAAACTTCAGGAACTGGTGTCCAAGATGCAGGAGCAAGCTGCAGAATACAAAGAAAAAGAGGAAGAAATTAAAAAACAGTACATGCAGCTAAGGGAGGATGCTAAAACAAGACTCAAAGAAATGCGAGAACGCATGGAAGAAGAAAAAACCCAGAGCACAGACAAAATAACAGCACTGGAGGCAGAGATGACTGCAATTAAAGAAAAACACGAAACAGAACTGCAAGAAAAGGACTGGCATTTTAATGAGAAGCTCACAGAACTTCAGAGTCAAAATGAGAACCTCCAGAAAGACATTGAGGACTACATCCACAGCTACACAGAGATTCAGAATCAGAATGAGGCTCTCAGAAATCAGGTGGACGGACTCCAAGATTCCGCAGCGAGTCAGGATGAAATTATAAGATCGGTCACCCAGCAGCTGGAGCATAGGATAGAGAGCTTGAACCAAGAGTATGAGACTATTGTGAAAGAGAAGGAAGCCATTATTGCCTCTATGGAAGAAAGACACAAAACTCTGGAGGAATCCATTCAAAGTCTCAGTGACCAGTTGGAGGAGAAAAGTGCAATTCATCAGCAGATACTGGATACTAAGGAAGAAGAGTTGAAGAAGGCACTCGAGAAAATGGCAGCAATTGAGGAGTCCAGTGAGACAATGAAAGTAGAATATGAAAAAATAATACAGGAGAAAAATAAAACTATATCTAATTTGGAAGAAGTCCAAAGTCAACAGCAAGAAGAATTGAAGTCCGAGCTGAAGGAGAAGGACTTGTGGGTGGCTGAGGGGAACAAACATCTTGAGAGGAAAGACGAGGAGTTGAGGCAGACCAAGGAAAAGTTTGCTCAACTCAAGGAAAAGGCAACAAACAAACTTCTGGAGTACAAGGCCTCTTTGGAAGAAAAAGAGGCAGAACTTGTGAAACTTAAAGAAGAAAACAATCAAGTTAAACAGAAAGTGGAAGATCATGAACGGCTGATGACAGAAAAAGGAAGAGGCTCTAAGACAGGAACACGAGGCAGTACTGACAGAAACGAAGCAAGAATATGACAAACAGATAGTTGAACTTCACCAAAATGACGCAGAACTTCAGGAGAGGTTAAAAGAGCTGACGGAGAAGCTGAACAGAACTGAAGAACAGCTGCATGAATATACCCAGGAGTATGAGAGCATGGTGGAACAATACAAAGCAAAGTTGATAGCACAACAGCAGCAGTTTGAGGCTGATAGGATGAAACTAAGGGAAGGAGCAGAGCTATTTCAGAAGACGATGGAGAGTCAGGTACAGGAGAGTGAAGACAAAGTGTTGGCTCTATCACAGCAAAAACAGGAAGAATTGGGCACCCTGAAAAAAGAGCATGATGAAAAGTTGAAAGAATTAAAACAAAAATATGTGGCTAAGGTTAAAGAGATTCAGGGAAAGAGCAAGGAAACCATTAGTGAATTAGAAACTCGGCTAAGCAGCCAGGTGCAGGAAAATGAAATGCTACGTGGTCAATTGGAAACCTCTTTTAGCATGGGAGAGCAGATCCAGCAAGATGAAAAGGACTTGGAAGCTCTGAGAGTTCAGCTCAAGGAGGCAGCAGAAAAAACAAATGAATTGGAGAGTTGCTTAGAAGCAGAGAGATCTAAGACTCACTCTGCAGGGAATAGAGTGTTAGAATTGGAGAAATCTTTGGAGGAAAGTGAAGGGAGGCACCAGCATGCACAGGCCAGGATTGAAGAATTGGAGAGAATGCTGGAGGAAAACAAAAACGCCCAAGCTCAGGCCTCTCAGGAGCAGATAGAATCTAGTCAGTCCCAGCTTCAGGAAAAGGATCAGAAAGTTGTAGAACTGGAGAGTCATATTGAGGAGTTAAAGTCCAGACTTTTTGCTGACGAGCATAGAATCGTTGACTTGGAGGAGGCACTGTCCTCAAGCCAACATGAGCATGCTCAGTCTCATGCCAAGGTTCAGGAACTTCAGTCCATTCTTCGAACTGAGAGAGAAACGAATGACAGTGAAGCTCAACAGGCCATGGATGAGAAACTGAATGAATTACAACAGGCTGAGCACAGAGTTTCAGAACTCGAAGCTACACTTGAGGGTGTACAACATAAGGCTAGGGCTGAGGAAAGCCGTAGGGTGGAACTTGAACAGACTCTAGCTGAGAATGAAAGTGAGCTATCAGGATCGCAGAGTAGGATTCAGAACCTAGAAGAACTGCTGGAGGAGAACAAGAAGGCACAAGTCCAGGCCTCACAGGAGCTAATGCAGTCTAGAGAACTGGAACTTTCAGAAAAGGAACAAAAAGTGCAAGAATTACAGCAAAACGTTGAGGAGATGAAGACAAAGCTTTTTGCCAAAGAGCAGAGAATTGCTGACTTGCAAGAGGAACTGTCTTCAAGCCAACATGAGATTTCTGAAGCCCAGACCAAGATTCACGAACTTCAGTCTTTGCTTAGAACTGAGCAAGAAATGAAGGAGAGTGAAACACGTCAGGCTGTGGATGAGAAAGTCAATGAATTACAAAGGGCCGAGCACAAAATATCAGAACTCGAAGCCACTCTTGAGGATGTACAGCATAAGGCAAGGGCTGAGGAAAATCGTAGGGTGGAACTAGAACATTCTCTTGCTGAAAATGAAAGTGAGTTTTCCCAAGCCCAGAGCAGGATACAGGACTTGGAATGCCAGTGCAGCGAGCTCACATCAAAACTTGACACTTTCAGTGCAAAACTGTCAAAAATGACAGATGATTTCGGGAATGTGCAGTCTCAAAATGTTCAACTTCAGGAGGAGTTGGGGACCAAAACTAATGACTGTGATATCAAAATTCAAGACTTGATAACTAAACATGAGCAAGAACTGAAAAATCAGTCTGAGAAACTTGAGAAAGAGGGTAATGCAAAGCTCTTAGAACTTAAGAAAAAAGCTGAAATGAAACTTGCTCAAATAAAGAAAACGTTACAGGGAAATAATGAAACTGCTGTATCAGAATTAACAGACTCTAACTCTCGGTTACAAGAACAGATATCTGTTCTGGAAGAACAACTTGAAACACTGACAAAAGAAAAAGAAAATATAAAATTAGAAAAGGAAAAGATGGAACAGGAGTTTTCTGTTAAAATGGAAACACTAAGAGGGAATTTCTGTGAACAATTAGAGGCCAAGGAAAGGATAGTTTTAGAAAGTAACCAGAAATCTGAGAGCTTAGAGCAGTCTCAGAGTGGTCTAAAAATAGTTGTAGAAACTCTGAAAGCAGAGAAGGAAGAAATGAATCAAAGGGTTATCTTGTTAGAAAAGGAAAAAACTTTAATGCAGAAAGAAATGCAAGAACAATTTTCAAAATTGAACGAAGAAAGAGTACAGCTACAAAAATTGCAAGAAAAAATAAAAAAACTTGAGGAAGAGAAGTTAAAACTCCAGAAACTTGCCAAGAAATTCAAGGCAGACTTTGAGTCCAGTTCAAAAAGGCTGGAAAATCAGACTGAGGACTCTGAACTAAAGGTGTCAGCACTAGAGAAAGAGTACCAAGACAAGCTGGAAGAGCTGAAACAGGACCAAAGTGGCAGAATACGCCAACTTGTCAAGGAGTTCAACCAACAGATGGGCGAAAAGGAGAAAGAGTTCCACGAAACGTTAAACGCAGCTTTGGGTACGTTTAACTGTGGCAATATGATACTACTCACAAATTTTCAACCCCAGATGGATATTCTGATTCTGATCATCAAATTACCTTCATTTGCATGTGCGTGCTGGATGTGCATAATCTTCTCTCTGCTTACAATCTTCTTATTGTCTCTCTTTCTCTCTCTGACAATCCTGCTGTTATTCATTCAGTTGTGGCTTAGATTTATGTCTCAGTAATTCCTATGTGAGTGTTGGTGTGCTTATTGACATGGCTGTAGGCTTGCCCAGGGCTTATTTGTTAATTTTTAACCTTTTTTTTTCTTCTCTATTTTGGGTACAAGTTGTATGTATTAAGAAAAGTCACAGATGGTCATTGCTCTGCACTAGTAATCAATACAAATTTTGCACTTAATCTTGTACTCTAGAAAACTTGTCATTCTTCTAACATATAATGCAAATTTGTACTTGAGGTTTTGATTCATTTTTGGCAAAAGTCATTGTTTGATATTTTGCCAGTGTGCTTAAACTGTTGCCAAATAATCTGTTAGTTAAAAATCGGTGCAGGCATTTGAACAATAGATAGATAGGCAGTATGCACTGTTTGCTTTATATGTCTGCATGGTAGCCTTGCTTATTATTTTTTTTCATTCTGTCTCTTTGTATAATCACTATGATGATATATACATCTATGATTGATAGTAGACTATAGAAATAGTTTAGTAGTGAGATTGCCAATTCTTCATATGTCAAATGTTTTGGGTGTGTTGTTTTTATTTATTTATTTATTTATTTATTTTATTGTCTTTTCACAATTTATACCCTTCAAATTATTTACTAAGTTACATGTAACATTTTAAAAGAAAGGGGTAATTTTAGAGGATTTTATTTTTTGTGCATTGGTACTATTTTTCAGTTTTTAATTCAAATGGACTGTATTGTGTCTTGGCAAGCAATACATCTAACACTAACTGCTACTAACTGCTTATATTTCTGTGTTGGTTGAAACTGGTGTAATCATAAGCCAAAAAACCTTACTAAATATTAACCTCTCACAGAACTCTCAAACCCCTCTAATAATACTGTAATTTCGTTCTTTCTCAGAGAAGGGTCAGAGAGATGATGCGCGCATGCAGACAGAGTACATGCAGGAGATTGAAGAACTGCGTGACGACTTGCACGAGAAGGACCAGGCCATGGAAGACATGATGGAAAAACATCGACAGGAACTGAAGGTATCGTCTTCACAAATATTATTTTCAGTTCATTTATATATATATATATATATATATTAACTTCTGTTGGCCATATATAAATCTTATGATCTCTGACGTATAAACCCTGGCATTAACAGTTAAAGGTTTTCAGAAATAAGGTATCTTTTGGAAGTTGTTTTCTGTTAGGTGACTTAAGATGAAAAGAAGAAATCTTGTTACAATATATTTTAGTCAATTTTACAATCCTTCCTTTGTCTGTGAACTTCAAATTAACATTAGAAATGTCCTCTTTTTGAAATTTTTACCACCATCATAACATGGGGAAACTATGAAAAGTTTTAACCATTTTGATTAACATTCCTTCCTGTATCAAGTTCAAAAGATGTGAATTACTCTCGAGAATGTTGTTTTCAGACATATAATTTTATAACCAAATTTTTACAACAGCTTTATTGTCTTTGAGAAGATACTTTAAAGACTGTCACAGTTGTGATACTTCCCCCTTCTAGGAACAGGAGACAGAGCTAACCACCAAGTTAGAACTGTCACGGCAAGCGATAGAAAAACTCCAGCATCAACTCCAGGAAAAAGATCAAAACCACGAGGCAGACATAAAGATCTTGGAGCAGAAGCACCAGGCGGCCATGAAGAAGAAGCTGGAGGAGAGAGAACAGCGTCAACAGCTGGAGGTGGCTGGACTCACCAGAGAGTGGGATCTGGAGAGAAGGGTGGGTGCTGGTTAACATGGGTCTTAGTAAATAAATAGGGAGGCTGATCTAGATTTGGGTTGTGATGGAGAAATATGGATTTTTCATAACAAAGCTTCGTGACGCCCAGTCAAGGTGTGTGTGTGTTTGCTTGTTTGTTTGTGTTTTTTGTGTGTGTGTATGTGTGCGTGTGTGTGTGTTTGTAATAATGGTTTGGATATTGATTTTTGAGATGTATTTTAGAAGTGACATAATAGCTTCAGCATAAAATGAGGCATATGATGTTAGTTTGATTGTGTGTATCTGTCTGAAGAAGTGTGTAGATTTCTGAGGTATTATATGCAAGATCATCAGCATCACAAAATGATATATTTGATAATATTTTTTTGGTGCGAATTGCTTTTTAAAATTAAGATTTTTGAAAACCTTATGACTAATGCCAATCTTTTTTTTACATGGGAAATGTAAAACTACCCATTTGTTGTTATCATGGCTTTAAATTACTCATTTGCCACCTAGTTTTTGTTGCAAGTATTTATCCTGTTGTTTTGGAGAGTGAAAGTAATGTGCTCTTGTCTTGAGCTAAGTAGAATATGTGTATGAGGGTGACACTGCACACAGTAAATTTGTCAACAAAATTCAGTTTTGATATAAAAATATATATAAATATATTACTGTACATATATGCAGTTATAAAGCAGTCATCCGAAGTTGTGGTGGTTCCCTGTTGAAGATTGATGGTACAACTCACTATTTCAGATCTTTGCCTTATTGTTTCAAATTCTAGCATTAGATTCATCTGTTTTCTTCAATGTGATATTCTCTGATAGATAAATCAGAATATTCACAATATTCTCAAAATCCATTTTCGTTAAAATGAAACTTCATGAATTCAACTCAGATGTTCATGAATAAAAATATACAAAACATTTGTGTGAAGACATCTCATGCACATGTAGTTCAGTTGTTTAGTTTGCAAGCAACGTATCTTTTATATTGTGTATTAATTTGACAGGTACTTAATATTTTATTGTTACGCATTAAGCTGATATCAACATTTTGGTTGCTGTATCATTTATGATAGCAAATTATCCATGTGGAATGACACGTCTTGTCTCTACTTTGCCATGCTTTTTATAAATTAGTGTGGAGAATTTAGACAGTTGTGTACTAATAATTTTTGTTGTTTCGTCAGTAATATTGTGATGTTGTAATTTCTTTTTATGATTTTTTTCTGCAAATTTTAGTCCGAAGACAAAGCTGAAGCACAGGTATAAAAATACAGCATGCTAGCTGTTTCTTTCTTCTTCACTAACAGACTCAGGGTTTTGAGATGCTGTGTACCCCCCAACAAAGTGTGTTTTTAGGCTAGAAAATAAATGCTACTGTCTGAAATTGATTGGTCTGAAAGCCTGTTGCAGTTCAAATATGACCCCATTCCCATAGGCCCCATTCAGAATGAGAAGAGCCGAGTGCTAGCTAGGCCATGACCTAAATATGGCAGACCTTCGTGAAAAGAAGACTGCTTAATCCTGTAATGGTCTCTCCGCCTCTCTCTGTGCGTCATTCTTTCACCAGTTGAATTGAGTCAAGATTTTATTACTGTGCCCCTGCAGGGATGACGCGAAGGGAGGCATGTGAAAGGTGGAGAGACCATTACAGGATTAAGCGGTCTTCTTTACATGTAGGTCCACCATATTCAGGTCGTGGCCTAGTTAGCACCTGGCTCTTCTCATTCTGAATGGTTTACTAGATTGATCCAACTCTGAGGGGACGGTTTAACCCAATGAAATGCCTCCTCTTGTTTCCAATGTACTCGTATAATCACCAGCTTTTCTGTATTCTACACAAAGCCAGGAGGAGACGTGTTAATCTGTTAAACTGGTTGCATTCATTGAGATTCCCCACAGGGTTGGGTGGTAGTATGGAGGAGTGCAGTGTTGATATAGACCAATAGATTTCAGACACTTCATTAACATAGTCGGGTTAAGAGGTGTAATTGGACAGCAAAATGTTTGTAAGTGTTTTAACACTTTTGGAAACACACACTTTTTCACTTATTTATTTAAAATTTTGTAAATCATACTGAATTTAAATCAGGTTGCAATTCAAATTAATATCTTCTGCCAGAAATGTGTAACTGTTTCTAAAAGTGTGTCATACACCCCATTTCCATAGATTAGATCGACCTACTTTGGATCGACCTAACTCCCTGGGGGTTCGCGCTGAATAGCTGTCAGCCGGGCGGACACAAAAGTTAATTGCCCCTTACGGCTTGTAGTGGACGGGGACGGACACTTAAGGGGGATTATCTGACGGTAGTCTGGTGAGACTCCCCGCGGTGATAGATCGATCTAAAGTTGTGGGAATAGACCCATAGAGATGATTGGAGTGCATGCTTACTGTTACATTTCAGATAAACTAACTGACAATAATGGAGAAAGCATGGTTTATCATAAAATTTTTCTATCTCTCTCTCTCTCTAGGGTCATTTTCACATGGAGTGGTACAGTTTTTTATTTATTTATTTATTTATTTTTGCAATGCACCAGTTAGACTGGTTCTCACATGTAATTAAACAACAGTTGGTTTTACTCCTTTTCACAAGCCGCAAAGTACTGATCAAAATTAATCCAGTCAACTGATTATATCTAGCTGTCTCTCCGTTAAGGCATCTCATGTGTCATCGCCAGGTTATAAAAAAGTGAATCTGTCAAGATGATTAAACTGTACCACGCAATGTGAAAATGGTCTTTTTTCTCCCTCTCTATTTCTGGTCCTGCAAAGGAGGTTATGGTAATCTTGAAGCTCTCTTAAACTGTTCTGGACCTCTAGCATGGCGAGATAAAAAACAAAATTGTAGTCAAGGGTTGTACATTTTCCTCTCTACTTCATAACTGCATTTGATTGCATTTGATTTATCTGGTAAAATTTATCATCATCTTACTTTTTATATAAAAAGAAATGTGTGCATACTTTATTATGCTGAATGTTAGAAAGACCTGTTAAATGTTCTTTTTTTTTAAGATTTTCAATTTGAACATTTTTAAATATACATACATTTTGAAAATAAACAAGAGGAAAACATCCAAAATAATGTAATCAAAAGCCCATAAAAAAAATTATACAGCATACAAGGCAGATACAGAGACACTTAGAGACCGTTCCCACAGATTTTTGTGTCTCCCTGGGGAGTCTCACTAAATTGCGATCAACTTAGCTGGCCTAAGTGTCTGTCACGCCTTGTAAAGCTGTTAGGGGATAAATATCTTTGCCCTAGCTGATTCGGTAGGCGTGACAGATATTTAATTCTCTTCAGCTGATAGCAATTTAGCATGAACCCCCAGGGAGTTAGGTCGATCCAGATGGAACGATCTAAATCTATGGGAACCCAGTCTTCAATCAGCCTGATGGTGCTGTGTTATAGGAGCTGTCCAGACAGAACCAGCTTGCCTTAGAGGCTGTCCAGAGTGGCTCAGCCAGTGGGGATATGATGAGACAGCAAGTGATATCTCTAACCAAACAGTTAGAGGACCTGAAGGCCAAGCACCGGTAACTATTGATATTATATTATACAATAGATGTGATATTAAAGACATAAAACTTTTATTTAGAAGAATGAAACAGATGTGAATTGATATTTTTGACATAAGTGAACCCTGCTTAGTTCAACCTTTTTATAATTTATTTATCTATTTATTTTTTAGAAATTTTTATTGGGAAGGAATGGTGAAGTGTTATGAAACTTGATGATTAAAATGGTTACATATTTCATGATAGAGATCACACTTTGTATCTATTTTCATTTATTTATGTGTCTGTTTATAAATCTATTTATTTATTTTTTCGTGTTTAAAGAATAAGAAAAGTTTATAATTTTACCACTGACATCTCAATGATTAAACTCACTAATCTGTCTTCAGTATGGAGCTGGCGGAGGTTCAGAGTACCCGAGACATGTCCAGTCTTCCCCAGCCCTTGCTCTCCTCCCAGCCTGATGACGGAGCACAGGGACTGTCAGAGACACAGCAGATAGAGCTACAGAATATGAATTTACAGGTAAGAATTGTGCCACAATGTTTGTTTTTCTGTAGGTAATTACGTGAGCGCACTTTAAGATTGCAGACCTTTGGCAAGGAATAATGCAATTAAAAATAATTTTTCTTTAAAGAATGAATTAGTTTTTTAATTAATTATTTCATTGCTTTATTTATTTGTATATCATTTGCAAATCCATAATTACAGGCCAAGGTAAACCAGCTTACAGGTGAAACGGCACAGTTGCGCTTGAGGGAGAAAGAACTTCAGGCACAGATTGAAAACATGCGCTATTCCCACCAATCAGTGACCCCGCCTCAGAGTCCTTACCGTTACCATAACGACACGTCACATGACACCAGCCTAGGTCCTCTGCTGACAGAGCCTACTGAGTTGGAGTACCTGAGGAATATATTGTATGAATACATGATGGGGAAAGAAACCAAGGTGAGATAGAGAAGAAAAAATGAATAGATACTTAAAGGCAAACTATTTAAGTATATTTCCATATAGTAAGGTATATGAAAAATACCAAGAACGTTCAGCCATTTTCTCTCTCTTTTAGCAAGGCAAAGTCCATCCAATAACATTTGCACTGATTCTCTCTCTCTCTCTCTCTCTCTGAATTGTCATGGTCATGATCCTCACTGAAATCTGTTTCTTCCTTCATGACAGACACTGGCCAAAGTGATAGCCACCATTGTGAAGTTCAGCGACGAGCAGACGCGGAAGGTCATTCAACATGAGGAGGCTCGGCAGGGGGTAAGAACATTATGGGATAGAGATGAAAATATTATAGGATAAACAGGCCCATATGGATGGGTGTTTTGAGGGAAAAAAAAGATCAGTGGACAGAATTTGCTGAAAATGGCTGAGATTTATAGAGTATGGAAGATATTATTTGATGATACTATTGATAGACGTAATTTTAGGGAGTGTACTGGTGCATTGGTGAATGTTTGGGAAGCGCAGACTTTTTTTAAATTTAATGGAAATTATTTAGGTTGTTGTCTTATAAGAAGTTAAATAATACTATATATATTAAATAATTAGTCCTGTATAGTGCATTTGTAACTGTGGTAACTAACAAGACAGCTTAGATAATCTTATGGCTTTTAAACTTTGCTGTCTCTAATATAACCTTGATATATACATGCTGCTTTTGTGAAAGGACCCTGAATTGTAAGCTCCTTGATACTTTGTTATAATTGCCGGCCTTTCTTTTTGGTACTGCTTAAGTGTTGATATAAGTGCAAGCCTGGGTCTCTCTTACTCACCATCACCAAACATGATTACCCATCACAGTCACACAGGACGTGTTTCCAATCAAGGTGGTACAGCTTAACTTAGCACATGCTCTCTCAGCAGATGGTGTGATTGGTGTTGCTCACAGTAGAGAGCCAATCATAACCCTGTTTTCTGTCCCAGGTAAAACATCTGTCATTTGAATGGCCGGTGTAATCACACTGTCTGCTGAGATACCACTTGATTGGTTACTAGCCTCATGTACATGTCTTGTATGCACACATACCAAAGAAAAGCAGCAGTCCTGGAAGTTTGTGTCTTGAAAATCGGAATAAAATTGCTTTTACTCATTATAACTGTCATTTTCTCTGGTGACACCATGATGAATGGTCTAAGATTTTATGTCATGGTGGTTAAATGCGTACTGAATTATTATCACTGTTACTATAACATGGAAAGAAATTCTTAGCACTAACACTGGAAAGGAAAGTGTCGAGTTTTCATTTAAGATTTCAACTGTTTCTAGAAATGGAAACTTAAAGATAATTCACAAACAAAATTTAATCTTTTTTGGGGGAATGATATATGTAAATAGTAAGAGCATAATTATTCAGATCAGTGACTGAAGTTCTCCATTTTTCTTTGAAATCTCTTTGTTTCAGTAATGCATAGTGGCTGGTGGCAGGATGACCTCAGTACATATTCTCATGGTCAGTTCTTAGTTTTTGCAGCATGCTCTGGTATTTGATTCCTTTCTGGGCATAGTGGTGGCAGGTAGCTGTAGGGACTGTAGTTTCAGGGGTTTTTGGTGATGGAGATACAAGCTGTGCCAAAATCTTTTGTTAGCTTACTGGCCCATTGGACTACTAAATATCTACTGACCCAGAACAGAAATAGTGACCAGTAACTGAAATAATAAACAAAATTTAACTGCTCTGGGTTCAATATTCCTGTTATTTGGGTGTGGGACTAGTGGCTAACACCTTGTGCTGCTGGTGGTAGTGGTGACAGGATCTCTTGGAGCATGGTCAATAGTCATTATGTTATCCAAGATCTTTCTATCAAAATACTTTGGCTGTGGATGATGAGTTATCTGGATGACAGAATTACAAGGTTGGGTGACATACCTCTCTGCAATGTGTGCTCTAAACTGTAGGATGTGGAAACAGTAGATGCTTTGGGGTACATCCTAGATATAAGATGAAAATCATTTGTGGGTAGAAACTTAGGAAAAAAATTAATATATATTTGACTGCGGTTAATCCAGCTTTTAGCAAGAGCTGTAGCACTGAAAAGTTCATATTTGTTTTTAAAAAGTGGAGTTTATTAACTGGAAAACTGATGAAAAATAATGGAATGCAAGAGCCTTTTTTAAAGATTTTTAAAGTAAAATTATTTTATGAAATATCTCAACTTATTATAGTAACCAGATATTTTCTTTTACGTTGCAGGGTTGGTTGCTTAGCCCCTAAAGTTTACTAGTTGCTCTTGGATACTTATCTATCACAACAATACAAGAGGGCAGACAATCTGTGAAGAAGACCAGTTCCCAGATTTAGAGATGAAAGTCCTAAGGATGTATGGGAAACTCGGATATTTGGGTGTAATAATTGTATTTATGCCCCCCCAGAAGCGTCCTAAATAGAGCTGGGTGACTTCGGTGCTTGCACTTTCTGGAATTTATTCAAGGGTCCATTTCCATCTCTGCTAGCATAAATTGTGATGTCATCTCCTTCCATTTGTAGAGGATGGAGTACATATCCAGGGAGGTGAATTGAAACCATTGCTCTTTGCATTTATATGACTTCTGTTCGAAGGAGCATCAAAGAACTGGATTAAACTTAACTGACTGATTCAGATACAAGATCAACAAAAAAATAATAACATTGCTTTTGACAATAATTGTGAGGGGATGCCTTCTGGGATTTGTTGAGGTATCTGAACAGATTCATATTACACACAGAATCTGTAGTACCTCCTTTGCTCTGCTCACCAGATGGCTCTGCTTACAAAAAGAGACACAGGATGCTCCCTGTGACATTACTACAAACAATTTAGTACATTGATGCTTGCTTTATCCAAAAATAGAATTTATTTTGGAATATGATGGACTTTTGAAATCAGAATGATGCTGTGATAATAAAATTAATTTTATGAAAAAATTAATGTAAAAGATAGTTGGACATGAGGTCAAATCCTTGAGCATGTACTCATGTATTAAGTGCTTTTAATCTTTCACAGTTTTTTTTTTTAATATCATCTGTGGCTTTATATTCAGATATATAAAGATACTGAGCAAGCAAGTCTAAACAAGTTTAACTGGATGTAAATGACAATATAATCATTTTATGTGGTTATCTGTGACTCATTTGTCAGACTACATTTAACAAATTAAAAAAAAATAAATTGCCAGGATATTCTTTTTACTAGAGCCAATGTCTTCAAGAATACACTGCCTCGGAGTAGGCATTTGTTTTAAGCTTCCTTGAGAGTTCAGTGTCAGATTGGCAATATTCTAGTCTGATTTTATTCTTAAAAATAATATAGATTAAAGCAATAATAACTCTTCGTTTCGGCCAAAAAATGAATTTTCCTGGAGTAAACAACAATTTTCCCATACTTACCAATGGTTAATGAATCCATTTTTACATTCAAAGTTAGTCCCTGGTTTTTTTCTAAAAAGTTTGGTTTTTTGTTAAAATCTCTTAAGAGATTTTAACAACGTATAGACATCAATGGAGGTCGCGTGGTCTAAAGACAAGTTCAAATATCAGAATAAAAGCTATAACTGCTGTTTTTGTGGTAAAACAGAATATATTATATTTCTATTAGTTATTCACAAGGTTTTTATTGTGAAATATAGGTCTCATACAAAGAGTTATTATGCCTTTAATGTATTTCTTAGGAAGTGTAAATATGTACAGATGTTTTGATTTATTATTGTTATTATTATTACAGACATTTCAGTTGCAATATATTTCAGTATGGTGCTTCCAAGAGTAGCTGCAGCTTTCAAAATAAAAAAGTATCACTTATTTAATGTATTAAGGAATGTGTTAATAAGAAATTATCACTAATTTGATGTATTAAGGAATTAAGTGTTTTATTTTTAATCCTGCCTTTTAAGTCTTATAATGTAGAAGCTTTACTTTTCCCTATTCATTCAAGAGAAATTAAATCTACTTTTTATCCCAGATATCTGTTTGAACCACAAGTCATACTGTGATGTAATGTTCTTTTAATTTAGCTTAAGGCATTTACTAGAAGGACTACAAGATTTGGGATGGTCAGGGGTTGATGGCATTTGAATCATGAAGGAGCATGCAAGGTCAAGATATTACACAATTCTTATTTGTACTCTGGTTGATGGATGTTAAAATTTTATTTGAACTCTTAAATGGAAACTAAAAAAAAAGCTTAAAGTTATCTAGTTGGGTCAAAACAAGCTTATTTCTCTCACGGGTTATGTAAGGTTCAGACATTTTCAGCTTGTTAGTTTCTTTATCAGTCAAAGCATTATATGAGCCCCTTGCATGAGCCTTGAGGAACTGGAGCTGGTCCAGCTTGTGTTGATTGCAATTCATCATCAGTCACCTTATTGTGCAATATCTAGAAAATAATGCAGTTGGCATTAAGAAGAAAAGAAATACATTCCATTATTGCAGCTGTAGCAGTGCCATCATGCTGTCATATGAGGTGGTCAAATATCATTATTATAATTACTGTATCAAGTCTTAGTAACATTAGAGTATGAAAAAGTTCGGTAATACTCAGTAACAGGATATTATATATCTGAGTATATATCTGAGAGCTTTATGTCATAACTAAGAGTATATTCCTGTAGTAGTTGGCTAGACAAAATAACATGCACTTTTTCTTTAAAGATAATTATTATTACAGTATATTAATTGCTTCATCCTGAAAGTAATTAAAAATATAAGTATACCTTAACATTTTTGATGCTCAAATTCTGAAGACCAGATTTTTTTTACCCAAAGACATATAAGATGAACATGCAAGTAGTATATTATATATAGCTGAAATGTTCCATTTCCTATTTACTGGGCAGGGCAGTGAATAAAAAGTTATGTATTGATTGAAGGAAGCTTTGCAGTTTTTATTAATAATCGTGTGACTGTAATAAATTGTCAGTAGATTTCTCCATACAGAACATGACAAACTCGGTAAATTTAACTTTTCAATTTTTTCTTTTTTTTTTTTACATTTTCACAAAATACTTTGTTTTTTCTGTAAATAACAAAAAGTAAAACACATGAAGTATTATGATTTTATTTTCATAAACATGGATTACAAATAACATTGAATTCTTTGTCAAAATCATTCTGCGTGCTTACTTACTGTAAGTTACATAGTATGCATGCTATAAAAATATTCCTTGAATGTGAAACTTTATTACATGTGGCTTTTATGAAATATAAAAATGCACACTTCATTTAATATTAAATGTTGACATCAATAAAAAGGTGAAAGTAAAGTTTATTTTTAATACCATGATCAATGCAACTTGGCATGAATGAGAAGAAATTACAGGCCTGTAACCTTCAATGTCAAGAGTATTGGGGGGGGGGGAGGGTGTCTTTTACAAGAGGGCAGTGCTGAGGTTCCTTTTTTTTTTTTTTTTTTTTTTTTTTTTTTTTTTTTTTTTTTTTTAAGGCATAGAACACTGATCAAATTTTGACTCAGACAGACCCCCACTTCACCCCTTACATACCAATGTCCTGGCATTTAATTTTTTGAGCTTTCAATTTTGGCTGTAAATGTGGTCTTGTATACTACAATGTAAGCAAAGAGCGGGTGACAGTGACCAAGCTACCAATATATTCCACTTACAAACTAAACAGTATGAACTGTTACAAGAATGATTATACAACATTTCAATCAGGTAGGAAACCTTTAGTAGAATACTTATTACATACTACTATTCAGAGCTGTACTCTACTGTACTCGTGTTACACTTTAAAACAAATGACATGCCAACAACCTGCCGAAATGTCACCCCTTTGAAATTCTGAGGTCACTCGGCACTAGCTCCTGACTAGTGAAATGAACAAACACAGCATGTATTGTCATTTCTTTCTCCTTCACCAACATCGACTCTTCAAGTCTTGACTACTTCTTCTCTCACACAAACATTTTTAAGTATTTTATTTAATTAAAAAAATTTGGGCCTACTGTGCCAAAGTTACAAATGTAACTGGGCATTCTTGCTATAAATCGAAAGTTTTTTACATTTATACAATGTCCATTTTGACAGCAGTTGGTGGCCGATTTTTATATATTTTTCTCATTATTAATTATTGTCCTGGGTACTGTTGTTCTTAGTGAAGAATTCTATCAGTTGTGACATTTCTATGTCCATTCATTTGACAGCCTCTGTTATCTTTTTAAAGATGACTTTTTAGTCCTGGGTATTCTATCACAGCGGCTGCCCCCATACCAGTGCCAATACACATGGAGATCACAGCATAACCTCTGGAATGAAAATAGACATTGTTTGTGTGGACCTGTTTTGGGTAACATTATACACAGGGTTGTGCATGCCTCTGGTAGCAAAATTAAGTCAATAGTTCAACTTAATATAATTCACTCTTTAGTATCAGTTAATTAAATTTCAATTATTAAAATACAAAAAAAAGAATATTACAAACAACCTTCTATTAATTTTTAAATGTAATAAAGGAACCTTGTTCTCAAAAAAAATTCATACAACCCTGTTAATGGACAAAAATCTCACCGTTTTCCCCTTCTCTTCATCTCATGCAGGGCAGTGGCGATCTGCCGAGACCCAGTGCACCCCAGGGGGTGTCCTAGAGCTATGGCCCCACCCTTGGGGTTGACCTTCTCAAAGGGGATCCCTAGTTTCTCCACACAGTAAACTGCCTGGCTGGCAAAGGCCTCATTGATCTCAAAGATGTCAATGTCATCAACTGTTAGACCTGTTAGTAAAATAAAGAACAATTTGGTTTTTAATCTGTTGGAAAGAACTCTGGTGAGCCTTTTATGGTAAGCAATTGAGGCACATAAATATATTTCCTTCATGTTCATTCAATAAGTAAATTAAAGTAATTACGTACAAAGTTCTGGATTAATTTTAAAAACACAACACACCAGCCTTCTTGAGGGCCTCAGGAATGGCGTAAGCAGGTCCTATTCCCATCACGTCTGGTGGAACTCCAACAACTGCAAAACTTCTTATTACCCCAAACACAGGAAGGCCAAGTTTTTTAGCAGCAGAACGCCTGGCAAGGAGAACTGCGGCAGCTCCATCACTAACCTGGCTGGAATTGCCTGTTCATTAAAAAAATTATTTGATAAAAAAAAAATTAAGAAAGTAAACAAACAAGCCAACTAAAGCCGACCAATGTACAAGACAACCTTGATCAGTTTACACATGCATGTACATTTATTTAAAAGTCTGGTCTCAGAATTGATATTTGATCTACTAGTGGATCATATGCCATTTATGAGACACATATATGTTTCTAGGTAAAACAAGTTTTTTTTTTTTTTTTTTTTTTTTTTTTTTTTTTTTTTTTT